ATGGATGGATGATAGAATAGATTGGATGGATGGATAGATGGTAGATTAGATAAATGATATGATGGATGATAGATTAGAGAATAGATTGGATAGATGGTAGATTAGATAGATGATAGGATGGATGGATGGATGATAGATTAATAGATTGGATGGATGAATAGATGGTACAATAGATAGATTGGATGGATGGATGATAGAATAGATTGGATGGATGGATGATAGACTAGAGAGAGAGAGAATAGATTGGATGGATAGATGGTAGATTAGATAGATAGATAGAATTATAAATATATAGAGATGGAGATATACAGAGATAAAGTTATATATACAGAAAAAAAATTCTCACAAATTGTATTCAAAGGCATCTGCTGTTGGGAGCCACAACTGGTTTCATGCGATGCACTGAGTGGCTGGATGCACAATAAAAGCAACCAAATATGGATTCTATTATTGTATTACTTGCAGGCAACTGTTAGCACCTCTTATCCGAGTCACAAACTTTTACGCAAAGATGTCCGCGGACAGCTTTGAATCAAATTTGTGAGTCGGAAAAGGTGCTAAGAGGGGGTCATCCAATGTTTGTGCCATCGCAGATGAACACAACTCTCCTTGTAATTTCGGGGTTGGAATAATTAACAGTGTTATTCATGGCAATAATTACTCTGTTCTTCATCATCATGTTATTGCAAACATGAGATGTTGCTGTGTAATGATGATGCTCGCGAGTAACTCGCCATGAGTTAGTTTAATTCAACTTTTCATGCTGTAATTATAACCCGTCACCGTGGCTGTTGCTCACCTGAGCATCCCAGGTATTCCTCAACTTACAACCTTTGTTTAGTGACCAATTGAAGTTCCAATGAAAGAAGGAGAATGTATGTTTCCCAGGATAAATATGTGATGACCCAAAGGGGCGTGGCACAAAGGCAACCCAGTCAGATAATCAGTGGGAGTCCCTTTATTCGCTCCAAGTTTGCCCCAAATGTCCTGGTTACCTTCTGGGCTGGAGAAAAACTCTCCCAGGAACAGCCCTTGGCTGCAGGGAATCAAGTCTAAAACGTGGTCAACATAAACTAACTCTAAGTCCAAACAAGGCAAAATGAGGTAACTGGTCTGGCAGGGTAGGAGCAAGAATTCCAGATGTGAAGGCACGGCAATAACTCAACACGATTGGGAGGATGCCAGGAATGCAGATAAGCAAAGTCAACACAAGATAAACTCACATTTGCTCCCAACAGCTGCCGCACTCAGCATGTATCTCTTTTAAACTCTCATTCCCAGCTGTGGCTAATGAAAGGAATCAGGGCCCTTTCCTCTCCCGTAAGCCACCCCATCCATGTTGCTCCCTTCTCCGTTCCTCCCTGCGTGCCCTAGGATGAAGAGGGGGTGGGCCTGGGTCTTCCTCTGAATTCCCCCTCTCCCTTGTTCTACCTCTCCCCTGCTCTGCCCAGCCGGACTTTGCCCTTCCCAGTTCCCTCCACAGC